TATATATATATATATATATATATTGTTGAGATTATGATATCAATTTCATCTTTCACCTTTTTCTTTTCTTAACGTGTGTCATAAAAAAAATTACCACTTAAAAGTTAAAATTTCAAGTATTTTTTTGTGTTATATAAAGGAACAAATTCAACTACATAGAATAAAATAAAGTAAGTCAATTAAAGAGAACGAACAGAAAAATAAAACAAGTCAATGACACTATCATTTACATATTAGAGTTTCACAAAATAGGAGAATGGTATGAGAATAGTATTATATATGAGCAATGAACAATAGTGTAGTATTATTAGTAGAGAAAAAATGGAGAAGACAGGAGCATAGAAAAAAAAGATGAAAAACTCACTTGAAAATTCTTAAAACACTTGAAAAATCATTTCAAACAATCCTTCAAAATCCGATGGGTTTGGATGGGATTGTTTTATGAATCTGGTATTTATAAATAACACTAGAAAGTCTTTCAAAATCCCTCTCACACAACAATCCTTTAAAATCCTTAAATTTTTGAATACCAATGGATTGTTTTTAAGTTGTAAAAAATCTCAAATGAATACCAGTGGATTTTAATGGACTCTTTAAAAAATCATAAAAATCCATATTGAATACCACTGGATTGTTTTTAAGTGACATAAAATCCTGATTGAATACCAATGGACTTTTTTACTCAAAATAAGTCTTTTAAAATCCTACGAAATCCTAAACCAATACACCCCCCTTAGTGATCATTTTGACAAGGATCCTCTGAGTAACCCTTAATTTGGCCTACTCGGTCGAGTATCGATCTGAAAGATACACGATCCTCCATGTTCAGTCATTAAAGGCGTGAAGAGTCTCTATTCGACTTACTCGTTTTATTAGATGTTGGATCCTTAATCCAACGTTGGCCTTATATGTGAATAATTATATATTAAAGACACATAATGCCAAATTAAAGTGATATAATAATGTATAAATTATTTTGGCAGTTATGTATCTGAAAGGTTATGGGACCTTTAATGTGTGGTAACTAAAGGGTAATTCTATTTTGTGATGGGTTAAAATAGAAATACCAAAAGACCTTATGACTGTCTACAAATAGGTTAGGTCCCCAGATCACACGACGTTCTTTTCTTTTCTGACATCCCATTATCAGAGAGAGACAGAGAGATAATTAAAGGGTTTTCTCAAGAGAGTACGTGTTGATCTGGAAGGCCAAACCACACCGCTCTCTTATCATCATGAATTCAGGTATGCTTCCGCTTATTGTTTCTAGTGATTAACATGATAGAATTTATTTTTATATAGATGATGGTTTTCATCAAAAGGTTAAATTTGGTTCTAACAATTGGTATCAGAGCCATTTATCATGTTTTATCATTAGGAATATTTTGGACATGTTTCTTCATTATAGTATTATATAAATTCACCATGCATGTACAGTTGAAAGAAAATCCAATATATGTATC